GAGTAGAAGTTGTTTTAAAAACATTTTATTCACAAATGTTTATCGTATCTCATCCTGTAAAGTTTTGTTCTCAATTTCTGATATCAATCCCGCGGTATTCGATATCTAACATTCAATCCTCCCATTATTTTCATCTTATCATTGAAGTTACTTTGATTTTTATCCCTCGTTTAAGTATTGCCTTTTTTTTCATTGTACATAGTTTATCATTGTTTGCCGCGATCGATAGGCTGATCGCTGACCTTTTCAGGTGCAAGACGATCGTCGCGCCTCGCAACGTGCCCTCAGGACGCGATCGAAGTAATAGAAAGAAGATTTTCGCTGAAGAAGACGTTTTGTGTATTGATTTTCGAAGATATAATGAATATTTCGAAGTGCAGCAAAGGGAAGAGGGGGTAGAGGGAGGAGGTAGAGGGAAGGAAGAGGAGGTGGAAGGGAGGAAGAGGAGGGGAGTGTTTGAAAAAATAGTAATAAGATGTACAAAAACGCGAGTTTCAAGTCTCAAAATTCATTGATAGATGTTCAATACAAATATTCATATTCATATACAATATATAATTCAATAGAATTTCATTATATACATGGAAGATTCAAATGGCTTTGTCTGATGTGTATTTGGACATCTTCCTCAAATAATGGCCAACTTGGACAGTAGTTAGATAAGGGCCAGCTCGAAGTTCTTCGAAGGTGTTCATAGCGCGGTCCACTTTTTCACGGCGAATTCTATCGCGCTTTCTCAGTGCTCTCCCTTCACGAGGATACTGAAAAACGATGTTCACCATGTTAGCAGAGTAGCCAGCAGTAGCTTAATCGACTCACCCTTTCCATCCTGGCAAGCTTTGCTTTAGCAACTGAAGTGAAGCTTCTGAACACGAGCAACAGGGATGCTAAGGGTGGATGTTTCTTCATGAGAATCTTCCGTAACCTTCCGTGGTAGTTTTCTGCGGCGTTGGTGGTTCTTTCCTCGTGCACCATATATTTGCACCACATGGACGAGAATGGTCCAGTGAGCCAAGTTTCGTGCAAATAGGTGAGGAAGTTCGAGCAAGCTCGAAAAGCGGGGTGAGCCTCGTCTACTGGTGGTGTGCGCAGGGCATTTACTAAGTAGAAACAATTTCTCGGAAGGAAAGGTAGACCTTTCAAGGTCCGCCACCATCGGATTATACCGCGATTCCGATTCTCCCCCTTTAAGAATTGCAGCAAGCCCAGGCTATTGCGTTTCCTTGCCCATGCTTGAGATAGATGCCAGGAACAGCCCTGGATAGAAAATTGGGGGAAAACCCTGCGAGCCGCACTAATCGTGGCCATCTCAAAATCTACAATAAGTCTAAATTGTAAATGTTCCCTTGCATTCGGGTCGGCTCGCCGAAGCGCTTCTTTCAGATTCTCGAAAATAACGATGTAATCTTCCTCTCTTTTGCGTCGGGCGATGACAAACATGATCGGGACTTCTATGCCCCCTCTGCAAACGCCGTGAATGGTGTAGACTTGCCCCTTTTCGACCCGCACATGAGAGCCGCGTTTATTACGCGGGTTGAGTTGATGTACACCATCCCCGATTAAGGCATGAAGTCCGTTATCCATTGCACGCTTGACTATCTCATCGGAGATGTAGATGTGCATGTTGGGTTCCTGCAGCTTCAGAAATGTACTTCCATCGGGTAAATTTCGGAGTTGCTCAGGCACGTGTTCCATGTCAACGTCTGGGATGGTCATCTTGACGGCCCTGCTGTACGCGGATCTTCTTGATTGATAGCCTTTTCTACAGAAATGTAGCAGGACTGTCAGTTGCTTTTCCGCGTCTTCCCAGTTCAGCGTTTCGATGTGATTGACCACACCAGACCAGTAGCTTATCGACGGCAGCAGGGAAGCATTAGGGTTCCTTCTTACATTGTGGAGGCACTGAAAAACTCCGAACTCTCCGGGCACTCAGACGTATTGTTAGGTGGTCTACCTGATAGGATAACCTCTCTGCCTGATCCTTTTCCCACTCCACCGGAATACACGAATGAGTGAGCATTGCTGGGTCTTCAAGGAACTCGTCCCCATCCACCTGCAATGTCGCTGTTCATGGA